GGGAGAGAGGAGAGCGCAGGAAATGCCCTTCTGCGCAGGCTCTGCTCCTTCCCTCCCCTGCAGAGCCTGGCTGGAATTGCGGCTCCGGGGGCTGCCTGGGCCAAGGGCTTCTCTGCCGGGGATCTGAGCAGATTCTTGCCTTCCGTGAGCTGAAATGCCGAATCTCGGCTGATTTATTTCATCACAGGATCTCCTTTCATCACCTCCAGATTTGCCTTTCGGAGAGATCCTTTCTCTCCCCACCCATCACACCCCAAGAGACACGTTCTCTTAGCCAGGGGTCCCCTAGATGGAAGGCATCTCTGGAAGGCCCCTCCCCACCCCACTTCCAAACCGCACGTGATCCCCTTTCAGAAATGCTTTGATTCCTGGCTAGCCAATAAATGCTGCTGTAAAACGTATGGCTGATTTGCAGTCGGAGCCCAGATTTCTCCAGGATCCCGGTCTGGGAGTTACTTACTAATCCCCCCCTCTCTCTGTCCCTCCCTCCCTCCCTCCCGCTGGAGCCGAAGACACTGCCCCTCCATGAATGGCTATCTTCTATCCCCCCCATCCCCATCTCCCCCAACCCTTAGAGTATTTGCAGCCTGATATTCTGTGGTTTAACAAGGACCAGAATCCAGCCATGACAAAGAGGGGGGCGAGGGGAGGGGTTTAAGCATACCCAAACTTGACAAGAGACCCCTGGAATTCCATAACTCTTAAGGCTGAACAATTTGAACCCCCCCACCTGCCTCAAAGGTGCTGGAAGGGCAAGACTAGATTAGATATAGATGGATGGAAGGATGGATAGACAGACAGACAGAGAGAGGGTGATAGATAGATAGATAGATAGATAGATAGATAGATAGATAGATAGATAGATAGATAGATAGATAGATAGATAGATAGATAGATAGATAGATAGATAGATAGATTTAAAAGATGGCTTCCTTGAAAACAAAGCAGAGAAATTCCTGAAGGTGTCAAACCTGCTCCAATTAGACAGACCCCCACCCCCCCACCTTTCTGCCCCCTGCTAGGCCTGGACCTCTAGGAAAAGGGGGCACCGGACCACTTGGAGCAACTTGCCATGCCCCGCTCTCCAAGACCTCCTACCCTTCTCTGAGCCGCCCCCCCTCCCGATGGGCTGGGATCCCTCCCTTTGCCCAGCCAGGCGAGACCCTGCCCGGCGGGGAAAAGCCCTGCCCGCAAATAGCGCAGACGGCCCCGGGCCACCGCGGAGGGGAAGGGTGCCCAAAAGTTTGCGGACCCCTCCCCGTGGGTCTCCCTCCCTCCCTCTCCCTTTCCCACCCCATTCCCGGGCGAATGGGAGGGGGGTTCCGCAGGGCTCCTCTCCGGCCCTGGCCAGCCAGATCCCTCTGCTGGGAGGGGGGAAGAGCTCACCTCTGCCGTCCGCCCCTTCCCCGCTGCTCGGACCCTCGCCTGGGGGGGGGGTCTTGCCGCCGCTCTCCTTGCAGCCGACCTCTAGCTGCCCTCCGCAAGCATCGGCATCAGCATGGGGAGGGAGGGGGCGCCGGGGGGGGGCTGAGGGCGGGCGAGGCCAAGCAGCGGCTCTCCTCCTGCGGGGACCAGCGACCCCCGAGCTGGGTGAGGGAGGCGGACTCAGCTCTTGCAGCCGGCCGCCGCCGCCGCTTCCTCCGTCCCCATCCCCCAGGGCGCCGGGCTGGAACAGGTGGGGAGGGGCGAGGAGAGCCCCCCGCCTGCACAGCCCAGCCCAGCCCCGCTCGCGGCCGCCCCTGCCCGGGCTCCTTCCTCCGGCAGCCCCCGGTCCGCCGACAGCAGCGCGAAAGGGCTGGGCTGGGCCGGGCTGCGCTTCCCGGTCGGAAATCCCGGGCTCTGCTGTTAAAGGGTCCGCGGATGCTGCTGCTCTGGAGGGCGGGGAGGGTGGAGGAGAGGGAGGGGGCGCTCCAGCTGCAATCGCCGGCCAGGAAAAGACCCTCCCCTCGCTCTCCCGGAGAAAGAGGGGGCTCCTGCTGCAGGAAGCCCACCAAGAAAACCCCCGCAAGTTCCTAGTTCTGAAGAAGGACCTGTGCCTTGGTTTCCCCTCTGCTTACTGAGCTTGGAGGGATGCTTGGTTATCCAAGCCCAATGGGGCGTTCGGGGGACCTATAGGGGGCGGGGGTCGTGAATTTCCAAAGCCCCGGGGGAGGTGTTGGGGGGGGGAATGAGTCATGCCTACCTTCTCCTGGCTGGAACTGTGTCATACAGTCATTCATGAAGGTATGATCATCTTATTAGGCCCGTTTCGCATGCAAATGTGGATCGCCAGTCCTATCTTGACACCCTATAATTATGTTCCTTTATCACTCCTGTCCTCCGTTCAATGGGACTGGAGCCCCTCTTGGGCGGAAGCCCAAGAGCCAGATTGCCCCAGAGAGCAGCCGGTGCCAGTAGAAACTCGCTCTTGGTCCTGCTCTTGTTTTAATCCAGGTGTTTCCCAATGGAGAGGGGTGGGGGCTTGAAGAGATTAGGGTGAAGGAGAGCCAAGGCCATGATGGAGCAGCCCGACTGGAGCTGTTGGGACACCCAGAAGACAAGCAGGGCTTCCACCGGGCTGTCGCAGCCCCCACTTTGACTCTTTCGACCACCCCTGTCAAACTGGAGATGCTCCCTCCGCTTGATGCCAGGACCTCTTTGAGCCTTTGCAAAGCGGAATCCGGATTCCGATGGACAGGGACCGGTGCTGAAAAAGACAGGCTGCCTGCAAGCCCTGGAAGGAGGGCTTGGGAGGAAAAAGGAAGATGTCAAGGAAGAAGGGAGAGAGGGAGAGGGAGAAGAGAGAGAGAAGAGAGGGAGGGAGGTGGAGGGAAACGGGAGGAACAGATGCCAGGAAGCTCCGGCTGTTTAAACCTGCTTGCTGTGTCCTCTCGTGGCCGCTGGTGGGATTTCCGGGACCAGAATAGCACTCCTTGGCCAAAAGGGATGGTTTCGCCATGATCCATTTTAAAACGCTCTTCCAAGGAACTCCAGGAGCCGATCCCGTCACTTCAGCAAGCAACGGAAAAGGCTGAGCAAACATAGGTTGCTCTGCTCTGGTTTAAGTTAAGGCTTGCTGAAAAGTGAAAAGTGAACTTGAATTTTTTTAAAAGCACTAAATGCTTCCCCCCTCTCCCTTTTCTTTGGCAACGCATGCATTTCCATCATAACCTTTGCATTTAGTTTAGTTTATATTCCCCCCCCCTTTTTTTTTTCTTGACGTTCTTCTGAAGGGAATAAACCAATAACTTCTGGCTGCTGAAAAACCAGGATTTAGGTTAAACGGAGGCAAGATGGTAAATCATGCATTACAAAACCACCTTGCCTTGGATCGCACTCCAAGCCCCGTCCCAGTCGGTCCCAAGCCAGCTTCATGCACTTTGAACAGGCTGTGCTTGCACCCAGGAAGATTTTGACTGGAGGGCAATGCCCTGCAGTAGCAAGCCGTCCTTCATCACATAGGCCCCCTGTGCCCCGATTAAGCGAACCGGATTAACTCTTGGAGCAATTGGAGAATTGGGGAGGGGGGGGCTGCGGAGGTTGAACGAAGCTGGTGCAAAGGGCTGTGGCTCAGGGCTAGGTAAAGAAAGGCAGGGGGACCAGCCACTTGCCCCTCGGAAAGGAGAAAGAGTGAGAGACGCAGGACAGCCCCACCTAGCTTGACTGCCCTTAAAAGGGAGGCAGGAAGGAGGCAGGAAGGGCTTTCGAGATATTATTCCAAGGCCTGGTGACAATCAAGAGGCATTGCTGAAAACCCCATCCCCTCCGCTGCCTACCTCAGAGGGCTGACACTGACGAAGAAGCATCCTGAGTTATAGATCTCCACAGCCAAAGGCAGTTCTCTAGGCAGCTCCCAGGTTTAGAAAAAAGAGTTGCTGCGAGTCCAAACAGCTGTGGGTTTTGCAACAGGCTTTGCCCAATATGACACACTTTTCAGGCAAGAATTCGAATCCCAGAAAGCGGTAAGGAGTTTGGCGTAAGCCATCTCAGGAATGAGAATCCGGGCTGTGAGATAGCTGGCCCTGATGAGGTTACCCTAGTTTGGGTAACGAAACGCCTGCAAGAAAACAAGCTCAGGAAGCACCTGGGACCCCTCCAGCAAAAAAAGTGTGTGTGTGTGGTGGGGGGGGGTTATCAGTGTAGCGGCCAGCAGCCGTGCTGACTTTTAAGGCCATCAGGGAGGCAGAGATCTTATCGCTGATGCGCTGGCTGGGAGCCCCGGGGGCTCAAGAATCACTACATTACCTGTCCCGGAGGAGAAGGAAGCTAACAACCCCCCCCCCTCAGAGTTCAGGTATCCAACTTCCTTTTCCATCCATCTCCGACCGGTCAGGCTAACTAACCTCTTTGCCAGCTCCGATGCGTTCCTGCTTCTCAGCCTGGGCCTCAGTCCAAACTGACTTCTGAGGTTTCCCCCCAAATAAATTCTATTTGGATGCTGCTCTCCTCCACCCATCCCATGCCGAAGTCTGACCTGACCAGGGGGAAACTGGAGGTTATAGGTAGTCGTGGACTTACGACTACAATTGAGCTCAAAATTTCTGCTCTTAAGTGAGACATTTGTTAAGTGGGTTTTGCTCCATTTTGCGACTTTTCTCGCCACAGTTGCTGACTGCAGCTGTTAAGCTAGTCACACAATTGTTAAGGGAAGCTGACTTCCCCGTGGACTTTGCTTCCCAAGAGGTGGCCAAAGGGGATCACGTGACCCCGGGACATGGCCACCGTCATAAATAGGAGTCAGTTGCCCAGGTTCCGCATTTCGATCACGTGACAAGGTGGATGCTGCAACGGCCACTGATGTGCAAAACAGTCGTAAGTCACTTTTGTCAGTGTTTGGTCGCTACATCAAACTGTTGTTGAGGACTACCTGTACAAGGAAGATTGTATCTGACACAAGACTTGGTTTTGTTTGTGTGGCTTTATTTCTGAACGTCAATGTAACATAAACCTTAGGTGCCAGGAGCTGGAACTCCAATATGGGAGAGACACCCCACCCCCCGGCAAGGATTATCTCCCTTTTTTCCTCTCTCCTTACTCATGATGTGGGAGGGATTGCAACAGCCTCTTGTTCTGTGACGACTGTGGGAAGAAAACCAGGATTTCATGACTTCCCTGCTCCGAAGACAAAAAAAAGAAGGATTTTTGCCAAGAGGGCAAGCAGCAGTGGATTATGGAGCAAACGGTAAGAACAAAGGGCTCATCAACCCCCTGGGAATAGGGGGGCAGCGACAAGAGAAGGGCCCCGAGTCACCCAGGGATGCCCTGGTGCAGGACCCTCCTCTGGAGGGAGACTGAGGAGGGCGGGCTTGCGAGTGGGACTCTGTGCTGCTACAAAGAACGTGGGGATGGCAAACCAACTGCAGAGACAGAGACTGATAGGTTAGGAGTCGGGCTGACCAGGAGTGAGATCCAAGAATGAGACTTCCAAGGTATGAAAGTTAGCTTCTTGGGATGACCAGCTTTTCAAATAAGGCCAGGTAGACGTCGTGAGGTCAGGAGGCGCTGAAGCTCAGGTCTGACCCAGCCACCGTTTCCATCTTAAGTCAGTCCCTTTCCACAGGAACTGCCTTAAAGCTGGCTTCCCTTACCAGATTACCCCTTACACCAAGAGGCGTACAACCAGATCCCAGGTTGAAGGGAGCCAACAAAGGGCTTTTGGGGCGCACGTGTGTTTGTGTATTTATCTGTGTGAAGCCTTTCGTCCTGCTCTCACCACTATTCAAGAAAGCCCATTTTGGCAAAGAGCCCGAGCAAAGCACTGGCAAATTCGGAAGGTCCACCAGGCTGGTGGTTGGGGGAAGATCCCGGGGTGCTGCAGAGGAGGAGGTCTCTCAGAGAATCTGGATGCCCAGTTCCTCGGCGGTCTTCTGCAGTCTGTCCATGACATTCTCTTCTGGCTCTGGAACAAGTCCACTAGGCACAACTGTCCGGCTCTCGGAGGGGGCATTAGCCATCACGTAGTACACCGTTTCGCTCTCTCCGTGCTCGTTGGTCCTGTTCACCACCCGGATGATTGGGCTGGAAGGGGCGCTCGGATCACAGTCCGGAGACTCGCTGGCACACGGGGGAGCAGAGTTCTCGGTTGGCAGAGCAGCTGGCAAATCTGTCTCCACCGGGTCCTCCATCGGTGAGTCCAGGATGATGCCCTGTAAGCCGCCTTCCGACCCTGCCAGCACCACGCACTGGGCCGCGTCATCCAGCGATTCTCCCTGCTTCTCCCGGTCCTTCAGCAGTTGCTCAGTCAGTTCCACGCTTTCATACCGCACCAGCTGAAGGCGCATGTACCCATCCTCATGTTCTTTGTACCTAGGTGGGGTTGCAGAGGCTGCGGTTAGCAGGGAACCATGCCAGTCTGGTGGCGGCTAGCTGTTGGCGTCCCAGCGCCATCGATTATGAAAAGCTGATGAACACACAGACACACATTCAAAGCTGCTAGAAATGGCTGCTATTCCATTTTTTCAGCAAACACTTGCTTTGTCCAGAAATCTTAGCACAAGGTGAGAACGAATCTACATTTTTCTCCACCTTGCCTGGCATTGATAAAAAAAAACATGAAAGGGGTCAACCGTGGTGAAAGAGAAAAGAGAAACAATACCAGCAGCCTCATCTAATCCTTTTACCTAGAGGATCCCAGAAAGGGTGCCAGCTCTCTTCTTACACACCCTTCTTCCAATTGCTGCAGACTACACTTCTAGATCCCTCTTCTTCGCCACAACGTGGAAGAAGAGGTCACAAACGTTCAAACCTCCCTCATTGGGAATGTGCCACAAATCACTCCAGCTTCCCTTTGACACCTCTGGCTCAGAGACAAGCGCCCAAGAGATAATAAGATAATTAAATGCAACACATATCAGAATTAGCCAGCCTATCCAAACCTCCTGGATTTAATCAACCACAACCACGTTCCTTTGTAATCCTGATGCTGATTTGAGGACAGCACAATTTGCTTTAGGGATGTTCAGACAAACCATCTGTTTCTCCAAAAAATATCCTGGCTTGCCCTGTTAATGATCTGCAAACCAGTCAAGACTTGGGCTAAACCTCCAGCTGTCCAGAAGTTTACTTAATTTTTTGGAGGAATGTGATGAGAAGACTGTGCAATCTCCTCTTCTCCTTTTGAGGAGAGGGGCTGAAGTGAGGACTTTTGAGAAAGTGAAACTGACCTGCAGAAGGCCTTAGGGCAAAGATGTCTTCTGCTAGCAGCTTAACAACAAGAAAAGTCAGTTTCTCCCTGCAGACTGAATGCTCTTCTGAAACGTGACTTTGATTTCATGCCCATGCTTCGTAACCACAAAGAGCATTTCAGCCCCGCCCTATCGTTGTGTACCTGAAACGAGGATGACCTGAAGGCCATTTGAACTGGTGCTTCTTCCTGAGGTGGACCGTAAGGTTGTTCCCTCGTGTGAAACATTTGTCGCAGACGTGGCACTTATACCTGGGCTCTGAATCGCCCTGAGAATGTACATAGAGAGAAAGGAATGGTTAGATGGGGATTTTCTCCACCTACGCATGAAACTCCACAACTTGAAGGAATCCAGTTTTTGCTGTTCTGTTTGTAAAGCACGTCAGTAGATTCTCTTAACAATAAATCGGATTTGTAAGTATGAAAATAATAATGGTAATAATAACATGACGCCTTTAAGGCGATTAAACAGCAACATCTGCTTATCCCACGTGCTTGGGGAGGACTCAGTAAGTGCCTGATCTAGGCTAAACGTTGGGCTGGCTGTGCAAACAACAACAACAACAACAACAATAATAATAATAATAATTAAAAAAAATTGAGTGCTGGAGGAACTCAGAACTCCCAGAAGCAGCAAAATTTTGGGAACTCTGTGAAAGAGATACTTGCATGGAGGTGATTCACACCAATTAGCAGATGTAAGTTTGCTTTTTCCTTGGGAAAGTAAACAGCTGCTGCTTCGGCTTCTAATTTTCTAGCCAAAGCCATATCTCAGAGTCCTTCTGCAAAGCTTCTGTAATTGCTGCCCTGCTTTTTTCCTTAAAATCAGACACCACCCCAGGCTCTCAGACTCCCGTCTGCTTCCTTCTCACCTCATGAACCTTCTTGTAGTGCAGTTTGATGGAGCAGAGAGATCGGGCACTGAAGTCGCAGGCTTCAAATTCACAGCGGTAGGCTGGCTCTTTGCTATGGGTGTCCAAGTGCTTCCGTAGATCAATCAGATTCTTACAGCTGGACGGATCATGCAAAGACAGTATTTTAAATCCTGGCACAAACAGTACAATACTGCTGCATGTAAAATGGCAGCAATTAGAAGTCATAAAATACACGCTCCCTCCGTGTTCTTCACCATAACATTCTGGCTATTACCAAAAACAGGCCACAGTTGCTCTTCCTATCATGATGACTGCATTTTACACAACAAATCCTCTACAAACCCTCAGGGAGCCTCTGAGTGGACAACAGTCCAACAGCTACCCTCATCGTAATGCTACCTGTTCTGCCGAATTCTATAGGTAGTCCGATCAGCCAGACCAGCTGGGGGAATTCTGGGAATTCTGGCAACTTCTTAAAGTTGCCAAGGCTGAGAAACAGTGGTGTTTCATTTCATATATATTGATTTTATAACTGTAATATATGTCACCCTGAGCAAGGCCTTGATAAAAAGGCCACCACGGGTCTAAAAAGAAATCGTTCTAGAAACTGTAGCCATTTAATCCAAATACCCTTTGAATTAAACTGGTGGTTTGCCCAATAATTCCACACTTCACTGGCCAGCAAAAGAGAGACTTTATAAAGCAATGGTAATTTTATAATTTGGAGCTAGGCACCAGTTACCACAATTTGTAAACTCTTAAGGCAGCTGCTAACCCATCTATTTCAGAGGCAAAGAAACAGCAGAAGGGTTTGGCTACAGAGAACACTCTCCTTCCCGGGACCTGGCCCAGGGCCATCTCCCACCTGGCCTCTGGGCTTACCTATGGTCACAATAGTTGCACTTGTAAGGCCGTTCCTCGCTGTGCCTGAAGCGGATGTGGTTGCGTAGTGAGGAGGGCAGAGGGCAAGTCATGTCACAAAGAGGGCACTTGTAGTGGTTGACTGCTCAGGAAAACAGACACACACACATATAAAGGAGGTCATTCCTGAAGGGAAAGTTCACCAAGAGGAGAGAAAAGGAGGGGGAAAAAAGCTTCCTCATCACCTCTTACCGTGGTTCCTCATATGATCCCTCAACAATCTCTCTGTGGCAAACCTTTTGGAGCAGTGAGAACATTGGAATCGCTGTTCTGTGAGCAGAGGCAGAAACAAAAGGACACATCTCATTTAGAGAGAATCTTTATCGGCAACTTTTCACAACACATGGACAGCTTCATCATAGCTTGAACTAGGAAAGAACATCCATACCAAGTCAAATCCAAAAATGCTGGAGAATTCTTGGAAGCAGGGCATTCAGACAAATTAGCCATCCACAGGCCCATAGAGATAAACAACATCCACATAACATTTAAAAGAGACAATCAAAAATCTAAAAAAAGCAAACAAAAATACCTAACCACCTCCTCACCAGCAATCAACACCCAGATGAGCAGAGATTAATACTAAGATTAATGCCAGACCAACAATCAGGCAGGAAACAACAGGCCAATCAAGGAACTACCAAGAAGAAAGCCACACTCCCACCAACACTGACAGGGCAAGCCACTTGTAAATAAAGAGAGAGCAAACCCTCCTCCCTTTTAGAACTGATAATATAACTTAGTAGGGTAATGAAACGTCTGCAAGAAAACAGCCAAGCTCAGCAAGCACCAAGGACCCCACAATTTCTTCTCTTCCAAACAAACACTCCCTTCTAGGGTTTATAACTCAAACCCTAATCAGTCCAAAACTCACATTGGCTAGCAAGCCTGACCACTTGTACAGTTCCGGGCTAAACATGATGATGGGCTCAGGTACTCACGTTCTAAAGCCGTCTGTCGACGGATGTGATCAAAGAACTTGGTGTTGTTGGAGAACATGCCACCACAAGTGGGACAAGCCACCACCTTCTCCTGGGTGTGGCTGCGCAGATGTTCCCGCAGCTTACATCGGCCTTTGAAGGTACAGTCACACTCTGGAACAAAAGAAGACAATGCTTGTGTGTTCCAAGCTGGCACAAAGCTGGTGTTCCTGCCTGGAATGTTTCGGCTTATTGCTTTGAGCTTGGCGGGGACGATTCCCTTAGAAACCCTGGGATTCTACAGTAGCTTTTTTTATGGATTTTGAGGAGCTGTTTCATTTTTATCTGCATGAAAACTGGGAGAATAATCCTCCTCTCATAAAGTGCCTAACAGCCACAAGATGAAATGTTTTGGTATATTTGTTTGCACTGAGGTAAATTACATTTTCCTCCTACTGGGGAAAACAAAGAGGATAAAATGTGTGAATCATAGGAATAGTATTTAAAGATTGTATAAAAAATGCACTCGGTGATTTTTTAAAAGGCAATGTTGTATACAGGTAGTCTTCAACTTGTGCCTACTATTGAGAAGAGAATTTCCAATGGCTAAGGAAGGTGTTTGATCATGTTACTGTGAGGACGGTGCAACGGACGTAAGTGTGAGGACCAGTTGTAAGTAACCTTTTTTCAGTGCTGTTGTAACTTCAAACGGACACTAAATATGTTGACAATTACCTGTATCTATGAGTATTATTCTATAGTGTCTTATATAAGAATGTTTTTCTGGTTTAATTTTGCCTCAAAACAACAGGAAAGGTTTAAGCAGTTAAACACAGATCAGCCAGCAAAGGTCCCAAGGCAAGATCAACCCCTACCTTTCCACCCACAGAAGACCATGTGGTTCTCCTTCCCTATCGCCTTGTATTCTGCACAGAAACTATGATCTTCCACGTGCCTGTAGAACCATTCAGGATTATCAAAAGCTCGCTGATGGGGAGACAAGAAAAGGAAAGATATATTCTGAGCATACACTCAGTCAATCAGCAAATAAATAAATCCGTTAAAGGATGTTATTCCCGTAAATCAATATTACACTTTCTAAAAGCTTAATAAATCCCATCCAGGAGTCACTCAGTAGCTCTGCATACACATGGAAGTTTACATAAGCTCCACCCCACCCGGAGAGACTTAATTTTTAATAGTTGGGTAACAATAATCTGCGTCCTCCTCAAATGGCTCCATTCACTAAATTTCTTGTGAGAGCTTGTCAACGCATTCAGCATTTTTTTGTTTGCCTCACACACACAGCATTTTTCACCCATTCTGGAGCTCTGGTTGAAACCTCCAGGAAAATGTAAAATTGCGTACCAACTTTCTTTGGAATGATCAAAGAGACAAACAGAGCAGCTATAGTTCCAGATGTCAATTTCCAAAGTGAATATAAAGGGAGCCTAGGTTTAGGAATGTCATACATATGTGCTATGGAATTTCCAGAGATTATTCCAAGAGATATAGTTATGTTTATTAAATAGTAAAAAATATTCCAAGTGTCTTCTATGGGCACACTATTTTATACCTATTTCAGAATGACCCTCCTGTAAATTCAAATTTAAACTGGGTATGGAGTGTTCCAAAAACATTCCTGCATTGTTTTTTAGCATAATGAAGAGGAATGAACAGGTTTGCATAATCTCTTGAATAAGTTATACAACTTGTTTGGTCTAAAACAAAATTACTTAATCCATCCTGCAGTCATCACAGCACGCCAAGAATCTGTCTGAAGCTTAGAAGCTAATTGTGCATCTTTTCACTGCGCGGTGGACATACTCAACACAGTATCACTGGGATAGACTGTTTATCTTCCCATCTCATCTCTCACCTCACAATATTCCCAAAGGCAGAGAAAGTTCTCTTGAATTTCAGGAATGATGTTTCGGCTCTGAAAGTCCAGCTGGCAGGGAGTCAAGTCAGACTGGCTCTGTAAGGCATGCAGTCCCCACTGCTTCAGTTTCGTGTGGTAACAGTGGAAGTAAACATGGCGGACGAGCTCTGCAGGACTCTCAGGAGAACAGAAGCCGCATTCTTGCCAGAGGCAAGCGTATTCTTCTGGGGAGGGAAAAAAGAAAGTTGATGGAGGAAGCACAAAACTCGTACCTGCAAGAGACAGACTACACATCACAAATTTCTACTTAGTAATTGGTCTTGGTCACCCCCCATTTTCTGGATGAAGTTTGTAAAACAGAAGCTATTTTGATTTAATACTATGGCTTTTAATTAAAAAAGAAACCAGGAAAATTAACTTTCTCAGACTTTTCTTAACTAACACCCCCCCCCCTTTCTTTAGCCGATTCATGCTTTCACTACCTTTTCAAACCCAGTTTATCTTAATCCTGCCTTCTCCACGTGTCCCTTGCCTACAGCACTTCTCACCCTTGGCCTGCTTCAATTTTACACTGACATAACTTGACTATGGTAGTGAAGGGGCTACAACATCTCCCTTGCAGCTTTGGGCAAACCCCTATGGCTTACAGGACTATCTGCAATAAGAAAGACAAATATGCTACAGTGACTGCCTGGCATTGAACCAGAAAGGTAATTTAGAGGAGTATGGGTTTTCTAACGAAATCAATCAATTCTTTTAACAAGGAGGAGGAGGAGGAAGGGAATACAGAGAAGTACTGTGCCAATTTTCAGAGAGGATAATATGAGCCACAGCTGATATTAAAAGCAAGTAAGAGTCACAGCGATATTCAAGGAGGTCAAAAAAGTCCGGGCGATGGCCATAACCAGCAAAGCCCCACCCCTTTTTATCTGTGTCGCAGCGTGACATTCTGCAATACACACCCCAAAACCTGCCCCATCTGCCCCATACCAAGAGAATCCATCTCATTGTCCTCCTCCTTGCCCTGGAGATGCTGCTGCAGGTGCTGCGAGACGTGTTCGCAAAACTCTTCCATCTTCGAGGCCACAAAGCTGCAGATTTCCCATTCACACTGCAGGACCAAAGCCTCTTTCTCCCCCGTCTTCCCAGGAGGCATGGCCACAACCCTGCCGGGCAATTGGAGAAGAGGGTCTTGTTCACATTCCAAAGGAGGTTTTCGGTTGCCTTCCCTCCAGCCTCGGAAAGGGATTGAAGGAAAGAGCTGGAATTCTGCCAAACACACCGACTATTATCCTGTGTGGATTTTACGGTCTTTAGAAAAGCATCCTCATCCAATTCCACAATTCCAAGGATTTGCTGTGAGGAAGCGCCCACTGCAATTAATTTCCAGCAAAGTCACAATGGCCTTCCTTCAGTCCAAAGGGCAGGGTGGGTGGGCAGGGAAGAAAAAAAAGTACATATAAATGCATATACACATACTATAAAATATACCTTATGTTATACTGTGCCACAAATATATTACACATGGTTATACATTCCATAGGCATATATAGTATATATAATAGACAATATTTACACACACAATGCTAGGTACCTGTGTATGTGATTTTATACATACATACATACACACACACAGAGAGAGAGAGAGAGAGAGAGAGAGAGAGAGAGAGAGATAAAAGGAGAATATGGAAAATTATTTTCGCTATTTTACCCTTTTTGTGGTTTATGTAAGCTGCCCAAAGTCTTCTGGAGCAGGCAGCCATACCAAATCTGATACAAATGAAAGTATAAAGTACATATTACTATAAACACGCAAATACATGATATATAACATAACAGAATGGACTATATTTTATAAGATCTACATATACAAGGTTGTCAGTGTTATATAAGACACAGTATAGAATGATGATTCCCCTTCGCGTTTCTACCCATTGCTGTAGCCCTTTATTGCCCTTCCTGAGAAAAACAAAGCACCTTCCCCGACCCGGAGTCCTCCAGAAGTAGCTGGACTTGGGTTCCACTAATTCCCAACACTCGGCCAAGGCCGGGGCTGCGCGTAGCTGAAAGTCCGCCCGGCCAGAGAGGCCCCCCCGGCCGTCGTCTGAGTCTCTCCCTCCCCGGCGACTCGCCCTTTCGTGCGGCGTCCACACACCCACCAGGGGGGGCCGAAGAAGGGTCCCCGCTCGAGACTTCCCTAGCCGAAAAAACGGGGTCTGGAGGAACAAAAACGCCCTCCGGTTTGAGGAGCCAAGGCCCGGGGACATCCACTAGGCCGCGTTTCCATAGTTACCTAGTGTTTCCCGGCCGGCCGACCGACGTCCGACGCAACGACCACTTCCCTCACCACCTGTGCGCCCGCGAGCCGCCCGGATGAATTTCGCCAGCCAATGAAAGGCGCCGAAGGTGTCCGTGTAGCCAATGGTGCGGCCAGGGGAGGGCGGGACCTAGCCGGCCTGTCAAAACATACAGAGAGCATCGCGGTGCTAGGTCCGATAGAGAACCGAAGGTTGTTGAGGAATGGTTCCGGGTTGAGTAGGATTCCTGGCTCACCCGAACCTATCCCGTGGAAAAGATCCATTTAGTTTGGAGCCCCAGAAACTAAAGATTGAGAGAAAATAAAAAGATGGAAAAAAAGTGTTTTGTCGTCCAGAATTTTTGTAGGCTCTTAGGCAGGCTACAAAGCTTTTCCCACTTTTTCCCTTGCACCATACTGTTTCTATAAAGCGGGGGGGGGGGGGATCTAGCCAATGCAGAAATTGTACCTCAAAGCAATACTTTTATTAGGCGTATTAGAAAATCACCCTTCCAAACATCCCTGGAGAATATTCAAACAGCTCTGAATCAGGACCATGTTTTTTAGTGCTTGGATAGAAAACAAAGTTGCATTGCCTAAAGTAGAATGTTTTTATTATTATTTTTATTATTACATTTATATGCCCGTTTTGCCTAGAGGGGTGAGAGATCCTTGACCTCACTTGCATCAAACTCAGACTTAGATTGCATATTGTGGGGAACTGGTTGCACCATGGATTTCAGATCCTACTGAAATCAAATGTGGCATTGTGTTGCACTGAAATTGAGCAAGATGCAGGTTGTGTACCTAGCTATCCTTGATTGTTCTGTCAGAAAAAGTGAATAATCGGATTTGCATGAATAACTCAATCTTTGCATCATCTCATAAAACACCCCAACTCCTACAAATTGCATTTCTCCATTAGAGCATGGAAATAAGCCCACTGATATCAATTAGTCTAATCTAAAGATGACCAAAGTAAGATCCAACCAATATTATTCATAACAATTGATAGCAATATGAAATATCCAAACAAAACAACCTTTCCCAAAAGTTTTAAAAATGTATTTGATTTCCAAAATGATCTAAAATGAAATGGTGGCTCCAGAATCAGCTTTGAATGCAGATAACATTTCATTTTGTCTTTACTGTAACCTGTATCTTTAATTCCTTCTAGAAAGAATTTCATTTAAAAAAAAAAAGTTTGGGTTGTATTTTATGTTAATGTATTCAAGTGTATTTGTTTGAAAATATTACTTTGCATCAGAGTAACTTTTAGGGTTGCTATAAATTCTCCAGAGAAGCTTATGCTATGGAATGCAACTGTAATATATGATTGAGGAAATTTTTCCCTTTTGTTATTTATAGTTTACTAAGAGTTGTTATGATTATAAAATGAACTGAAATAAAGTTAAGGAACAGCTTTCTAACTAAAAAAACAATGGAAATGGGAAAAACTCTATTTGGGTCGTATCCAGAAGAGTTTGGATTACATTGTAAGATATCGAGGCCAAGTTATAGAACATTTATTTACCTAAAAGACAGTTTTTTCACAGTTGCAAATACTCAATATCATTTCCCATGATTAAAAATTACAAGTAATTGTAAGATTCCTCACAATCTTAAACTTTCTTGATTTAACCTTTTCTTGTTGCAAGAGTTTGTTTGTAAAAAGGAACATTTATCTGTCTCTTGTCCTCTTGCTCCTAAAATTATGCATTTTGGCTCAACGAAAGCGCCTTTCCACCCTGCTCCTTGCTGACTATGCAAATTGCATCTAAACAGACACCAAAGGATTTGCATTTATACAAATCCTACAGAACTCATTTCGGAGATGTCTTCTAAAATTGTGGAAAAAGCCATTTCTGCTTAGTTCAAAGTGAACGTGAGTGAGAAACAGGCAGCATCCAAGTTCATGACAGCTGATTTCCTCAAATATTCTCCTAAATCTACAGAGAGAGAAATAATTCCTGTTGAGCATGGAAACTGGTAAGTATTGACTTGATCCACTTGACATGTATATTAATTTGCTTAGCAACAATGGCACAGAAGCTTGTAAAATAAGGCACAAGACAGTTAATAGCCGCCTTGCTTGTCAATGAAAACTCTGGTCCCATCTGAGGTTGTGTTGAGGAGTAGCTGTACATTGCCTCCTCAAAAGTATGCATCAGAAATAGAACCTCCAGATCAGGAAATGTATTATCATATTGCCAAATTCAAGGTTAATTTCAGAGAATCTAAAACACAGGAAAGTCTAGATTTCAAATCCTGCTAATTGAAAAGTTTCGATCAATTTGTTGTGGTTAGGTTTCCTAAAATAATTATTACATTTGGATGAGTGCATCATAGCTGACTAAAGGGAGAGATGGGGACAAGGACCTTTGCTTCAGGACTGAAAGACACAGGTCTCCAACTAGTTTTACCTAAATAAATATAATGTTTTATTCAGTTCAATGAATTATAAGGATCAGTTTTACCGACAGGATCTTAAACCAGCTTTGCTCTCTGACTTAAGCTCCAGACAAACCAGGAAACTGTTTATTTAGATTTCCTTTTATTCTCTGTATTGACTGGGTGCATAATTATTTCTGATCCCAATTGATTCCTGTAAACTCTTTATTTAAGGGGGGGAATGGGGATTCTGCTACCTTTTTAGATCACAACATCGGTTGTAACCCTATCTTATCTAGATTTCTAAACTACCGATCGGGAAGGTAACATCATCTAGAACTTTTCTGAAAGATACCTAATGGTGCGGGTCAGACGTCTTTATTAGACAGGGATAAAAAATTCGTTTTGTTTTGTGATTTATTTACGGTATACTATCCATCCATCCATCCATCCATCCATCCATCCATCGTAGGTAGGTAGGTAGGTAGATAGATAGATAGATAGATAGATAGATAGATAGATAGAGAACAAAAGCACAAAACATGTAAAACCTACGTTTGGAACAGTAACTCAATATGCATAAAAGATCAAAGAATTTTCCCCATAGGACACAAAATGTTTGTTTGAGCTTAGAAGATGCTCCGGTTTTGTGGTTGCATTGTTTCCTAAAAGATTAAACGGAGACTCCAATAACATCTGGCTGAAAGTTCCCCTCAGGTTGTTTCTCACTTCCGCAGAATAGGTTTTTTCTGTGAGTATGGGGGTGTCTTCAGGGTATGACCCCCAAAAGTCAGGTTTGTAGCTCTAACTCTTTTTTTTTTAATGTGCATTGTGCTTGGTTCCAAAGGCAGAATAAAAGAAGCTGCTTCATTATTTCAAGTTGAATGAGACTGGAATTGACCCACCTAGCAGCAAAATATACAGAGAAGCATTTGATGAAAGGAAGCACTTCTGTGAGTGCTCCTCATTTACTAAACCAAGACCAAATCAGTTACAGCATGGCTTAGCCCTGGTTGAACATTAGTCCCTCCACTGTATTTATAACACCGGTTATTGTTTATTTATTTATTTATTTATTTATTAAATTTCTACCCCGCCCTTCTCCCAGTGGACTCAGGGCGGCTTACAGCCATCTAAAACAGGTACATAATACAAAAATACTAATTTTAAAATGTAATTAAAATAGAATATTAAATTATTGGCCTTTTCTTTTTAAAATTATTTTAAAACCAAATTAAGATAACCCTTAGGCCAGTCCTGCTAGCTTAAATAGCCATGTCTTGAGGGCGCGGCGGAAGGAGGGGAGATNGGGCTCCAACCGAGAAGGTTGGAAGGTTTCTATGGCCTCTGAATTGGATATATCTCAATCAATCAATTAATCACTCCCTTTGGAGCACAAAACCTCCACCCAAGCTTGGCCTGTTGACCCTGGACTTGATGGCACATTGGATCCATGAATGAAAGAACAAACCATGTAGCCTTACTCTACTTCT